TATATATATATATATATAATATATATATATAACAGTATAAGTGCATATACTATCATATATATAATGCATGTAGAAAAATAGGTTTAATCAGCAAGCTTTTGGGAATTATCTCTCTTCATCAGGCTATAAATAATATATTGATGATTTTATAGCCCGATGAAGAGAGATAATTCTCGAAAGATTGCTGACTAAAATTTAACGCCCTATTTTACTTTTCTACATTTTTTTTCTTATTCTCACATCTACATTGGTGTCCGTGTGTTTTTACTTCTAATTTATATAGATGACGGTGAGCAGTGTTAATTCAAGTGGAGCTTTGTATATATATATATATAAATATATATATATAAATATAAATATATATATATAAAGCGTCTTCTCGTTGGTCCAGTCCGACCTTTCTTTGACCTTCTTGAAGTGTGGATGCGTCTCACTCAAGCCCGTATCGAAGATGGCGACCCTAACACCTGCCCCCTTGTGACCCATGTCCCACAGCATGTTTGCATGTAGGGCACTAGTGATCTGCATCGACAAAGGGCAGAATGATTAAGCGTGCCACAGTGGTGACCACAATGCTGTTAGCCGAACTTAGATAGAAGGGGTAGGTGACAGGTTTTAAATGATGTGCAGTTGAACAGGCAGCCCTATGATTCACAAAGCTACGCACGATCTTTACGATTCCAGCTCCTTAGCCAGTAAGGTGAAGAAGAAGAAGGAAAACAAGCAGAACAAGAACAAGAACAAGGAGATTAAAGAAGAAGAAGCATGGTTGAGAATCAGACGATGTTAAAAACTCATTACCAGAATACTTTGGACAGTCAATGGAGTTGACATGTCTACGACACACTCCACACACCATTCTGATTCACTTGAGCTTCAATCCATGGTGTCACCTAACACTGCATACCATACACAGTACGTGTGTAATGACTGCAAAGTGAGTGAGCTGCATGCTTGGGCTATTTTTACCTGCGCAGCTCGTGCAAAAACCATTGCATACGCCGTACATGTACGATCCAACGCAATCACAATTTACAGGGAGACACGCAAACACTGGCAGGAACCCGGGAACAAAACGATGAGCGCCGCATGCCCTTGCAGTCACGACCAGATTTGCGTCGATCACCGAAACAGGACTCAGGGTCCATACAGATAAGTCAAGACAAAATTCAAGGAGTTTTCCAGGACATTTCAAAGACAATTTTAATTTTTCAAGTACTAAAATTCTAGCTTAACTTAATAAAATTCAGTGTTTTCAGACTTAGCACAGCTTGAAAAGATACATTACACGGAATAGAGGACATGAAAACTTCTGATTCAGAAAAAAACAGAGATTAACAGAATTAATAAAATGAACACAGACATATTTATTGCTTTATAATTCTTATTTTATAAATTCCAGTAGTTTTGATTACCTTTCCATGGCAATAACAACTTTTCCAGGACAATTCCAGTATAAAACACAATATTTTAAAATTCAAGGAGTTTACAAGGAGTCGTATCAAATTCCAGGACATTTCCATGCCCGTGCGGACCCTGGGACTGCATCGATCGACAGGAATGTACGAAAGACACTCGTGTCCGCGGGAAACGAAGGCAAGGGGTGCGACTTACCTGTCGTGGCACGGCCCTGAGCAGGCGTCTGCTCGTGTGACGTCCCGTCGCGTGCCAGAACGCCGTCGCCAGCGACAGACTCGAGCGGCCGCGGAAGTTGAGCGTCTGCTCCCAGCACGGCCCGTCCTCCGTGGCGTTGCACGGCGGCGGCCGCGTGTGCCGCGGCCCCGCGTCCGGCCCAGCCTCCTGACCCCCATCCGGCCCCGCGTCCGGCCCAGCGTCCTGACCCGCGTCTGCGACCAGCTTGAGCGTGCGCGTCACCATGCGATGCGGCGTGACCTGCTTGACGAGGGGGAGTCGCGCGAGGGCGGCGATGACGTCAGCACTGCCCTCCCGCACCTGCAGGCAGACGACAAGACGCCACAGCGGCGGTGAGTCATGCAAGATGCGAATGCGACGGCAATGTCACGCCGGCTGGCTGGGGTAAATTTCGGGCTAATGCTACGTGCACCATTTTACGTATGCGCCGGTCGGGGGCGATAAAGGCCGCACAATTAATAAGCCTAGTATACAGTCTCATCCTACTCTTAAAACTTTAATTCGCCCACCACCCCCACAATCTACTTCCTCAATCATCCCACCCTTAAACCCTTAATTCGCCCACGACTCCCCAGCTTAACTCCTGCAATCACCCCACCCTTAAACCTAGAAGCTTTGCAGATCACGCTGAAAGCTTTGCAGATCACCCCCACCATTAACTCACTCCAGCATCCCCACTCTTAATCCTTTACTCCTACCACACCTCTCCCTTAACTCTCTAAATCATCCCACTCTTAAACCTTTAATCGCCCACATCGTACCTTATCATCTGTGCATTACTCCCACTTCGTAATCGTTTTTAATCACCCACCCCTTCACCTTAATCACCTGGCATTATTCCCCTGCTTAAATCCTTTAATCACCCACAACCCCTTCATTAAACTCACTACGAATCATCCGCATCTTAACTTTAATCACGACACCACCCTTCCCGCTTATATCTGCCTCCATGCGGTCCACTCTTTAAACTTTAATCACATACACCCTTCCCTAACTCACTCTTAACTTTATCACACCACCCTTCACCCTTAACTCCATCATATCCTCTTAAACCTTTAATCAACTACATCCCTACCTTATCCTCCATATCCCATCTAACTTTAATCACACCCCTTCACTTAACTCCTCCATCATCCACTCTTAAACCTTTAATTCACCACACATCCTTCACCTTAACTCACTCAGCATCCCACTTCTTATCTTTTACTCCACCCATCCTTCTCCTTAACTCTCTAATACATCCACTTTTAATTACTTTAAATCGCTCCATCCATTCCCGTCACCCTTAACTCCTTCTGGGCTCATCCACTCTATCTATTATATCACCCACCACCTTCACCTTAACTCACCGGCTATTATCACCTCTTAATCTTTAATCACCACCACCTTCACATTAACTCACTCCATAATCCCACTCTTTTGGAAACTTTAATCACCCCCACCTTCACTTTAACTTCCTCAATATCCACTCTTAAGCCTTTAATCACCACCACCCCTTCACCCTTTAACTCACTCTTAAACCTTTAATCACCACTCAACCTTCACCCTTACTCCCTCATCATCACTCTTAAACATCCCCCCCCATTTAATCACCACGCACCCCTTACCCTTGACTACTCTCAGCCCACTCTAAACCTTTAATCACCCACACTTCACCTCTTATAACTCCTCCATGCATCCCTACTTATTAATCCTTTAATCACCCACAAACTTTTACCTTTATACTCCCTCCATTCATCCCACTCTTAATCCTTTAATCACCCACCACCCCTTCACCCTTAACTCACTCCATCATCCCATCCGAAACTCTCCCACCGCCTCACCTTGAGTACATCGAAGTCGCTGCTGGAAATCCTGCAGCAGGCTTGCGGCGCAGCGCACTTCAGATCCCGTGCAATGTTAATGCTCGGTCGTGGCGTTCAGCGCCAGGCATGTAATCAGCGCAAGGTCTCTGCGTCATGTGGTATCCCGCGAAACGCCGACGATTGCAAGCTGAGCGAGAACGTGACGACACCATTTTCATGTTTGAGCGTGTGGGGGTTGTTTCCTGGGTGGGGTGAGGACGTGTGTGGGATGAGGATCTTGGTAGTGTGGGGTTGGGGGTTGTAGTTTGGTTTATATAGAATATTGTGGTCTGTTACGTAGAAATGATCATTCGTGCCCGAGATGCTGCATGTTTTAGGATATGTAGACTGGACTGCATAAGTACTGTACATAGAGTACTGCGTCGGTTTGGCAGTTGGACACTATCATATGTTGCCGAGCAAAGATCCGCATGGAGGCAGGAACGCAGAGGACGAATGAGTCAGACGAGAACGCATGCACTAATGGATGTTGAGATGCTGCTACGGACGACAGCAGCCGATGGGCAGTGAGGACGTTAAGAACCGCAAGGTCCGATGCGGGAGAAACGGGCGACTGGAGATTGTGCGGAGGCGACGGCGAGGAATAACAACTAGCCGCTCATTAGTGACACGTTCGCAAGGAATCTGGCTGAGACGCACGCACGATGAAGTGCCCAGAAAGACGCAAGTCAAGCGCACGGAGGATGGCACACTGCAGAACAGACTGACAGACACGACTAGCAGGCTCTTGCCAGTTGAAGACTATGTGGTATGCATGCAGAGTCTCAGGCTAAGATATCTCGCAAGGGTCGTGCACAATCTTGCTGATCAGACCTCTATAGCGTATGTGTCATTACTTACTTTACTTCTTTATCTGACAGTCCGTTCAAGAATAACGTAAGGGATAGTTGCGCGAACGTCAGCGGCTTGCACGTTGAGAGATTTGCATGGAATATTTTCTTATGTAGGGCTCAGTAATGGTTCCAGAGATTCGATGGCTTCTCTAAGGGCTAGCTCAGGCTCATTACTGAGTGACGCTAGTGATGCCAGTGAATTGCTGTGTTTCTTGACTATTAGTAGTGACTCCCGGTAGCAGATTCACCTTTTGATTGTCTTAGGAAAAGAAAGCTGAACTGTACCCCATCTGTTACCGGATTTGATGTTGGTGTATGATAGCCGTGTGTGATTATATAATCGTTTCATTTCCGCGGCAATTTGCTGGGCTTTTGCGTGAGAAAGGAATGCAATAGTCGACTGACTGCTGCCGTTTTGATTAAGTTTTCATCGGAATAGAGCTGACGGTTGACAACTGCGTTCTGCCAGAGGGCCATCAAAAAGCACGACACTGGCTTGGCGTCGAACTAACACTGCTTGTACACGCTACACGCTTTCATCTAACTATGTCGACGACGGACGACGCAAATCTACACTCGCAACGGTACTAGGTACTCCACACTGTCGCACGACGGCCATGTCATCTGCGTCGTCGCCTCCGACAAGGTCGACGTTCTGCACTGCCCACAAGATCTCAAGGGGCTGATATTAAAGGCAGGAGAACGATGCACAGATGGCAGTGACGCTGGGCACCGTCGGGGTGCAGTCAGCATCACGAGATGGAAAATGGAAAACAAACTTTCGCCTTCTGCAAGATAAAGAATAAATAAAATACTTCTGTTTGTTTTAAAACACAACCCCAGTATTGACTCGAATATGAGTTATTATACTCTGTTTGCTTTTTTTTTTCATCTACAATCTAAGTAGAATGTTGCATAGCATGTTGATTTTAGGCCTACATGAAGTTTTTCTCGCTTCAGTGTAAACACAAAAAGAACGGATAATACTTATATTTAGTAAACCTGCAGGATTCAATAGTCCACAACTTCATCACAACTAGTGTACTTACATAATAAATTGTTGAATCATTAATATAAGACAGTATACATGTTATAACTAATAATTAGTACTATTTTATAATTTTTACAACTTTTCACGCAGACGAATGAAACATATTAATGGCAAATGGCGATCAAAATTGGTCGATTCGCTAGGCAATCTCTGAAAATGACACATTGAGCACGATATTAAAAATTAAACGTTACGAAATATAAAGCAAATAGTATAAATCCGTAGCGCTTACATTAACTTATTTCAATTATATTTGCATAATCTGTTATTTTTCATAATTATACGTCCTCATCTTATAAGTCAAAACTTTCCGGTTTTACGATAGATGGTCAGCAGCCAGATCGATAACAAATCACTAGTTAAATGAATGGTGCAATTGCTGAGGAAGTTCAGTGGACTGAAGAGAAAAATATATGTGCTCAAATTTTTCGCGCAGCATGTCTTCAAGGAAATCGAATAGTCCACTCAAGCTGCTGTCCTCAGTGTGAGGTTTATTGTCATTAGATGCGCTGACATTGACTGTATTCTATGATATTGTTTCTGACCGCCCACACAAACAAACTGTCTCGAAAAGAATACACAAAGCGAGCACATATTTAGATCACGCTTTCATGTAGTAGCTAGTAAGCACGCACGCGCATGAAATGTGACGGTCATTTTCGTAGACTTTAGTTACATGAAATAATGAGTACCAGGTACCGCGGTAGTGATTATACGTATACACTGTATACTACTTATTAATTAAAAGTCTATTATCTATTATTTATTACTGTAATGACGCACTGTTCGGTAATTGCGCTATTCCGTCAGAGCATTGTTGCGCTATGCGCTGTTCTATTTTGTACATAGTAAGTTAATATAATGGCTGTCTAGAGAGCGCTCTACTCTCTAACCACGCACCTCCAGTCTCCCTACACTAACACCAAATATAAACGATCGGTCTCTATATTATATGCTCGGTTTGTATATACTACGCGAGTTGATACTTGATAGTTAAACACTATTCTATGGTGTATAAACATCACAACGCATGATGCATGGGGGTCACAGCGTAGGGTGTCGTAGCAAACGTTAGGCGCCCCAGCATAAGGGGCTATAAATATATCAAAATCTAAAAGGTAACATTGCACTTTAGAGCTCCATAGATATTTAGAAATGTGTGGGGGACCCCCCCAGAATCCATTCAAACTTCCACAGTATAGGCACAACGCTAGTCGGTGCGTCGACTCGTCATGCACATAAACGCGCATTCATGCAAAACTGCTCGGTTCATACGAAATAGGCATAGACAGGGTCGAGCCAATCGAACGAATATCGCACGTCGTATGATAATTAGTATACTAATAGGTTATTACTGGAGTCAACTCAATTTAACTATCAAATATTATTATCCCTAATATACGATAATCACCTATGTTTTACTCTGTGCACGTAACTCTACCTTAGTGGTGAAGTTTATTAAACAATGTTAAAATGCTATAATATACTTGTTCTGAATTTGTTTCACAGAACTTCTTAATTAATAACCACTGTACTTGTAACTAGTTGGTTTGAGGATGTGTCAGACATCAAGCAGTATGGATCATAAATTTTACGGCAAAGATGATGACGATGGTGACATTATTGAGGGCGGCAGATACGCCCCTCAGGCTGGCCCACGAAGAGTTGTAGGAACAAAGACCAGAAGCAACCAAAACATCTGGTAACTATATCTATACTGACACGAATATTAGGCCGATGATAGCAATTACACCGATATGCTGCCAGAAGGAGATTACAAACTAAGACTTTTTTATTGCACAATATTCGATAGTGCTGCACGCAAGAAATTTAGATATCTGTTGAATGGAATTAACTAACGGATGATCCAGTGTCACAGGATGTGATGCTGATTGTGTTGTACGTTTAATTTTCTTGATTCATGTTGTTTATTTTTGCTCTTCTTCTCTCACTGCGGGACATATAGTACTTTTTGAATTTCCCACTGTGCAGTATAGTTTGTGTTCTTTTTACTCAGCACGTTAACTCCTGGCAGAATGAATTTTACGCGCAGACTATATTGTCGCGATCTGTCAGACTCTGGCAGTCGGACGAGACATTACCCGACTTGATTAGAGCGCATGGGTGAATAAATCCATGATCTTCTGAGAAGTGAGCATTGTAAATCATGATGGACTTAGGAATGCAACCTATTCGACAACTGACAACAACCTTTTCAGTATCTATAACATCGAGGGGCAGATATATTAGATGATCTACGAAGTCAGATGGAGCTTGTAAAATGAAATGAGTTCTCCCGTGATCCGGTGTCGTCTGTCAAAACGTTGGACACAAATTTTACTATCAATGGCTCGACGTACCGTCACGTTATTTAGGTTAGACGTCTAATGTACCTTTTCGAGCGGGCTGTGGCTATGCTGT